CACGTACATCACAGTACAGGTAAGAACTCCTCTACCTGATCCAGATTCTTTGGCCTGTGTCTCGGCTCAGCTCGGTTGAGAGCATGTATCCTTAATCAAATGATTGCAATCACCGAGACTCCCCACCAGCAGGTAATCAAGAGGCCAGAGCCCCTGTCCAGTGTGCCAGGTGTGATCTCCAAGGGAGCTGCCTCTGCCACGCTTGCCTGGTAGCAGTGCCTTGTGGGAGGACATGGGCCTTGGGAGGGGGGGTGTGGTAGGAAATGAAGGGTTGAAGTCTGGGCCATGACCAAGGTTCCTACAGATTTCTCCAGTTTTGACACCTTCTGAAATACACATCCAGTCATTGAGAGAAATGACTCCAAGACTGTCCCCTGCCCCGAATTGCCTCCTGGATATCCCATAGCTGCCTTAGCCATCTTCCTGTACCAGGCTGTACTTCCCACGGGAGCAGGAGCCCTGTGGGTTTGACATTGAGTATTTCTCAATCTGGGTGAAGAAACAGAGTTCAAAACACAACATTTCCACTTGCAAGCGTTTCCATCTCTGGACACCACATCCCACGGCCTCCACCCCGCTGGGTGCCTCAAATCCACTCCTCCTCTTCACCACTACAGACCCCCCCAGTTTATGCCACTTTCCTCTCCTGGTGCCACCCCACTATTTCCTGTCTAAGACTCCCTACTGCCTTTGGTGTCAAATGCAGACTCCTCAGTTTGGCCTTCTTGAACTTCAGAACTGGCTTCCCCTGCCCTTCTGTCTGATCTTCTGTATCCTGATTCTCCTCTTCTCCTGTTCCTGCCAAGCTGGTCTCCTTCTTATTTCTCAAACCCATGCCTGGTTACCTGTCCTCACATCTGGGATAGCTCCCTGTCTGTAATCTCCAGTCTTCTTGGCCAATCTTGTGTTTGATCATATCTCTTTCCACTGCACTGAGAATTAGAGCAAAGCTACTCCCAAGACCCACTGTGTTGGTTGCTGAGATGAAACTCTGGCTTTGGTACATTCAGTGATGGTCAAGGTCATGCACTTGGCATAAATAACACGACCACTCCTTGGGTGTCCTCCATGTTCCAGGCCCTCTACTATGTACGCATCTTACATGTTCCTTTTCCAATCCTCCTAATCAACATGTGAGGTATCATTCTGACGAGGGCAGATGCAGTGTTGCTTTAAGTCAAAAGTCTGGCCAACTTCAAAATTCTGAGGGCTTCAGGATTTAGGGTGATTCCTGGCCAGGATCCAGGATGAGTCTACACTTGCGGGGTTCGGCCAGTCTCTCATTAGAGAATTTTGAAGTTGACCAGAGTTTTAACTTAGATCAACACTGAATCTGCTTAACCTACAGCCATGAGCCATATTAAAAGACAACAGAAGAGTGAAGGAGACAGGAGATACTTCCTTCAGGGTAAAGGGGAGACATGAGGCAGATGGGGGAAGGATTTGGAGCCCTCAGATTTGGCTAGTTCTCAACTTACCTTGTGGGAAGTCTTTAGACAGGAGAGTCATCTCTTTTTTTATGTAGAGATAATTTCTCCTTCTCACCACCCGCTTCACTATTTCAGATATATTCCTAATAAAGAGCTGGATGGCCAGAGCCACCTCTGGGGGGTCTTCATGGAGCTGGGTGGCCAAATCTGTATCAGTTTGGGAGGAGGCAGCACGGAATGGAGAAAGGGAATGGTTATGCTAGACTAGAAAAGGCACAATATAAAGGAAACCAACATGTATTGAGTTCCTACTGTGTACAAGGCACCACACCAGATGTTTCTGTGTAAGCCAACAATTTGATCTCCCCAACAGATTAGAAGATATGTTTCCTATTTCACAGATGAGAAAACTATTGTTCATAGAAGCTAATGCACACGTTCGTGGTCAGGACCCAACCCAAAGTCTCCAAGACCCTTGCTGCCTTCTGGGTCCTGGTAAGATGGACTCAATCCAGGTTTGGATGTCCTACATTTGAAGGGCCCATGGGATGGCTGGAGGGAATGCTCAAGTGCCAGGGTTCCGGTTTAGGATTGCTACACCATAGGGTGTGGGGAGAGAAGGGTACACAATAGAGACTGCTCTCCTCTTCTTAAGTATTCAGATTTCCCAAGTTTTAGCTGGACACAGCTATCTGGAATAAAGACTGTTTCTCAACTTCCTGTGAGGCTAGGGGTGTCCATGTTGTGGTTTCTGAGGAGTGAGGGGTGGTGTGTTCTGCACACCTTTGCCATTCTCTGCTCCTTTCTCCTTCCTATAAACTGGAATAAGGATGTGAAGCTCAAGCAGCCATTTTGCACCATGAGGCAGTAGTACTCTGTTCCTGATCATGGTGGAACAAACTAACCTGCATCTCCAGAGTCCATACTTACAAGAGACACGGACTCCTTCCTGCCTTATCTAAGTAACTGGTATTTTCTTTCTTTTTCTGTATACTCGAACTTAATGAACACAAAGGTCAAGGGCATATTCTTTATCCAAGGCTGTAGTTTTCTGACTACAGTTGTGATCCCTGACTCTTTGATTCAAGCAGCCTTCCCTGGAGAGGCGCCCTTAGAGAGGACAGTCAGACCATCCAGGGGTTCAGGTGAGAGGCACAAGGACATGGTCGGATTTGGAATGGGCTAAGAGGGGTTGAGGGTCTCAGGAGGTTTAAGAAGACTGGTAGCAAAAGAAAGCTGAGAGGCTGCAGGCTTGACCACACGGTGAGCTAATACTCATAACCACGCCCAGGTCCTTGAGTAAGGACAGGGCAGACACACCGGACCAGCCCTTCTCGGCATCTCCACCTCGTTTCACAGAGATCCTGGTATTTCTACTTTATAGATCTAGAAACTGAGACAGAGATGAGATAACAGGCTCAAGGTCACAGAGCTGGTGAGGGACGGAGGCTGAACTTGAAGCACAGATCTGTCTGATCCTGTGCTGAGGCCATCCTGGAAAACCCAGCTCAAGCCCAGAGGATCTGGGGACTGCTCCTACTGGGGAAAAAGGAGAAATTTAGGTACAAACCTTTGAGGGCCTGTGTGAGGGTGAAAATGGACTTCAAGTTTGACCTTGGTCAGAGAGATGGGGGGAGGCAGTTGGGGCCTCCCAGGGCATCTCCATCTCTTCAGGAGGGGAGACAGGGGTGGTAGGGACTGACTGATGCTTAGAAGCTGGTGGTTTATCTTCAGACAGAGTTGGCCTGTCTGTGGCACAGTTTTGAGGCCATGGGACCTTGTGATAGAAACCCAATTCCAGGCTCCGATAGTGCTAAACCAAGCGGAGCTGGTTATTAAATGTCCAAGGACGCAGCTTCTGATAGAGACGTGGGTGAGCTGCCCATCCCCAGGACAGCTTGATAACAGGATCCTGTTGTGGCTGCAAATGAATTTCCCATGATCCCTGGCTCTTTGATTCCATCAGCCTTCCCTGGAGAGGAGCTCTTAGGGAGGACAGCCAGGTTACCAAATTTTCTGTGCAGGTGAGAGCTGGCTGACCACTGCCCGGTCTGCCTTTCAAATCTCCCCAAATTATTAAGTTAACTACTAGATGCTCAGAATATCTCAAGTTCAAAGGCTAGCAGGCTGGAACCAGGCATCTGAGGGACCTGTAGAAATCTTAGCAGAGGAATATTGAGATGTGGCAGGCTGGGCTTATCAGGAGACTGGATAGGGATCAGAAGGAACGAATACGTTTTTATTCTGTGAGCCACAGGGCTCAGGAGTCATTCCTCTCATGTCAGTCCTATTGATGGATCTAACTTTTGTGCAAGTTTCTTGGCTCTGAGGCTTGCCTGGGAGGGAGAGGAGTGCAGAGTTTTGGCCTGTGCTCCTTGGAGCCTTGAGTCAGTGGGGGCGGGTGACTGGGGGAGTGCATGGGGGCTGTAAAACCAGCAGGGCATGCTGCTCCCCACTCCTGCTTCCTCAGGGAGAGAAGCTCTGGTCTTAATTGTTACATAAATTGGGGCGTCCATCTATTTTAATCCATTTGTGCTACAATAGCAAAATAACACAGACTGGGAAATTTGTCAACAACAGAAAAAAAAAAATATTGCTCACAGTTCTGGAGGCTGGGGAGTCCAGATCAAGGCTCAGGCAGGTTCTGTGTCTGGTGAGGGCTGGTTCTCTCTGCTTCCAAGATGGCACCTTGGTGTCCTCTAGCAGGTACAAGCACTGTGTTCGGACAAGGCAGAAGGGCATCAGGGCCACAGAGGCAAAGAGCTCTCTCCCACCTCTTTTTATAAGGTTGTGAATCCTATTAATTACCTCTTCACAGTCCCACCTTTTTGTACTATCACACTGGTGATTGAATTTTAGCCCATGAATTTTGGGAGATGTTCAGGGCATATGTTATGTTTCAATGGGGAATGGAGTGAAAGAAAGAAAGAAAAGAAAAGAAAAAAAAAGAAGAAATCCTCCATGAGGTGGCAGGAGTTTGGCATAAGTGAAGTGGGAATCTGGATCCCAGCTTTGACTCTGACTAGCTGTGCATCCAAGGCACAGTCGTAAACTCTCACTTAGCCTCTTGGGACTTGTTGTCTGCGGCGCGGGATGATAAAGCCTTCTCAGCGGGATGCTTCGGAAGACAGAGCAAGGTAACAAAGTTTCTAGAGCAGGGTTTGGCATGAAGGTGTGTGTGTTGGAGGAGTCATTCGTTTTCAGAGAGAGTAACTGCAACTCAGATCTTGAGAGCCCCTCGCGTGACAAGCACCACACCATATTCTCGCTCATCCCTCCCAACAACCCCTCGACAGGGCATGCTGCTGCTGCCCTGTCCCCTTTCCACTTTTCAGAGGAGGAAACAGGGTTCAGAGAGGTTAAGTGACTTGCCCAGGGCCTTGCAGCCAATTCATGGCAGAACTGGAAATCCAGCAGGCAGAAAGGCTCATGGGTCAGGGACTTAGTGTTTCTCATTCATTTCCTAGAAGTATTTATTGAGCTCCTAAGTATGGACCCAGTACATTCTAGAAGAGGGACTTGGAGGCTGTTGGAAATGTATCTGAGCATGATGTCCCATGTCTTCCCCAGTCTTTGCAGATCTTCTTCTGCTATCCTGCTTCACACACAGGACCTGGGGTCACCAGGTGGTCCTCTGGCTTCACCAGCCCTTGACCCTGCTCCTCCTCCTCCTGGGATCGCCCTGGTTTCCACTCTTCACCTGGAAAGCTCCGATTCATTTATCAAGGCCTGACATCACCTTCTCAGGGAAGTCTTCCTTGCTTGCTTAACTTGTATATTTGCATTTTTAAATTTCTATTATATTTTTGAGTTTCTAAGTATTTGTATAACTTTTCAAAGTGCACACAGCTAGTCAATTCCTGAGTATTTGGACTCAGGTAGGAATTGAATTTGGACTTCCTGATAACAAAGCCAATGCACTTAACCACTGTATCATGTGACCACAAAGTCTGTGGCTCCTTTTTTGGGCTCCCATATCACTCCTGCTCTGCCACGGACCTCATCATACCTGATTGTAATGATTCATTTGTTGGTGCGATTTCTAGAAGTCAGTGTATGGATGAATCAACAGGTTAGATGCTCATGGGATAATAATCATGTTAATTAATATGCCTGTTACTGGGCTATCCTTTCTATATTTATTATTCATTATTGATGATGCAACTGTGAGATGTGATTGTGATTAATATTCCCATTTTGCATTTGGGTCAACTAAGGCTCAGAGACTTGAAGCAACTTGTCTAGTCCTGCAGCTTGACGAGGCAGTACTGGGACTCAAACCCAGCTCCGCCTGGCTCCAGAACCCCCTCTTTGAACTGCGACATCACAGCGCCTCACTGGAACACTCAAGATCCTTTGGTGGTGCTGGACCACAGAGACAAGTGTCATGGAGCTCCCGCCCTCAAGTAGCTCCCAGTCACGTGTAGAGACAGACATCCCAACACGAATAGATACTCATAACTTACAACGTAGCCAGGAGGAAGGGGTGAATAATCCATCAGAGAGTGGGGAAGGATTTCATTGTAGAGGCGATACATGAACAGGGTTTTGAAGGTTAAATAAGAGTCTTCCAGGAGACAAGGAGGTGGAAGGAGACCAGACATATGTAGTAGCTGAGAGAGAGAGAGAGAGAGGGAGAGGGAGAGAGAGAGACAGATACTGGGTGGCAGAGAAACTGAGTATTTGGAAATGTCACCCTGTCCATCCTCCTCCCAGCAGTCTCTCTGCTAGATAGGCACACAATCGCAGCTGCAGACAGCTGGCCGCGACGCCTGCTGGAGTTGTGCTTCTTCTCTCACACCTGTCTGTTAGAAAGGAGCAGGAGGGCTGTGAGACTCTGTGGGATTCTTCTCAGTGCTGGGTAGGAGGGGAAACGTGGGGGCGGTGGCCCTGGGCCCTGGAATCCAACACCTGCTCCCCATCCCCAAGGTGCACAGCCTGTCTCCCAGCTTCCCTGGCTCAGGAGGACAGGCCTGGCTCTCCAGTGCCCCCAGCTCCCCTGACTAAGACCCCTAGGGCTGCCGTGCGGGCAGGGCCCTGAGGGAAGCTTCTGCAGGTGGAGAGTGAGTCTTCTGGGTGTCTTCCTGGACACTGAGGGAATAATAGAGTCCAGGGTCTGATTGGCTCAGGGAGGAGTGCCCGGCTTATCTCAGTCCCTGCAGCAGTAGATACCGAGCGTCCCCTGCCTAGAGGCTGCTCACCTGACTCAGCCTGGCTCTGGGTGGGGAGCCATAGGGGATGGGGCGGGGAGGCTGGTATCACTTGTGCTTCTCTGTACACAGGCTCTGAGAGCTCGGGGCCCTGAGCACCTCACCCATGAGTCCAGAACCTTTTCTCACTGTGTATCTAGCCAAATGGCAGGTTCCTCATTTGACGGATTCTGTGCTGGGCTAAGGCCCTGACCTACAGGTTCTCCTTTGGGAGGGAGGCCTCTTCCCAATGGCTCTTCCTAGTCCAGGTTCCCTACTGCAGTCGGGGTACCCGCTTCACTGATGAAGGCCCCTCTCCCACTCCACTAAGAGGCTCCATGTTCTGACCCATCATATTGGACTCTGGGTGTGACCTTGGGTTAAACCCAATTTAGCCACCTCTCCTTGGTTCTATTAGCAGTTTGGAATCCAGACTGTGCCCTGCTTAGCCACCTGTGACGCAGGGTCCATCTCCCATCCCAGCCTCTTTCTTAGTCTCAGATATATGTGTCTAAGTACAGGTGCTGGTCAGGGATCAAGCTGCAACAGCTGGCTGGACTTGTGTTGGGCGCACGCATGTTCATTAATGCTGTCTCACGCTGCTGTGCACCGTGTGCCCAGTCTGACTTGGGTGTGTATTTGTGAACATGCCTAGGTCTACCGTGAACATGCCTGTGTGCCTTGAGGGGGATCAGCTTGCATGTCTTCAAGAAAACAGGTGTGTATTTATTTATCCATACACATGAACGAATTTCTCCAATGTGCACGCGTCTATGTGTCCATATCTGTGTGTGTGTGTGTGTGAGAGAGAGAGAGAGAGAGAGAGAGAGAGAGAGACGGGCCTCCTACCCATTCTGAAAGGAAAAGAGGTGGGTGGAGCGTCCCTTCCTGTAGACCACCGGGGGACTGGGCTAGCTGAAGGAGTGGAGGTGAGGGACTCCGGAGCCTTCTGGAATTTCCCTGCCAGCACTCTAGGGCTTTCCCATCTGTTCCTACTCCTGTGGTCTCAGCTCTGAGTACTTCAGGACTACAAGCCTTTGGTCCAGCATCCAACCCTTCACTTGGAAGGTGTGTACCTGAAAAAGGGACCAAAGTCCCCCTACATTCACCATGGACAATGATGCCTGCCATTCTGGAGACACCCACTGTGGCCTGTGGGCGTCTTTCTCCATCACTGACATCTGGGCTGTTCCCCTTCGTAGAGCGGAGGGGCCCACAGAAGGGGCCCCTGAGCTGACATTGTTGTTCCTGAGGCTTGGGTTTGCCTGAGGCCTTCAGCCTTGGCTGAGGACCTGGGTCTGGTTGGAGGCACTTCGGGGACCCTGGGCTGTGTCCAGAGCTTCCCCTTCCCAACCAGCCTCTGGATGGGCAGGGGGAACACTTGCAGGGAAATTACCAATTTAAATAGGAAATGCAAGCAATTTGGATGGAACCCCAGGACGGCAGTTTGAGAGCTCATTCTCTGCCCCGTGGGGGTTTGATTACAACCAACTTGGCTGATAACATGCAGAGAGGGCCAGGGAAACGGTTTCCAAGGAAACTCGGATCTCTCTAAACCCCTTCTGGCTCAGGTGGGAGCCAGGGCTGGCTGGAAAACCAGAGGTTGTACTGGGTTCCAGTGGCCCCTCTGTCCTTCATGAGACCCCCCCCCCCCCGAACTCTGCTTGCTGCTGCTCCTACCCCTGTGCCTCCAGACTTGGCCACACTTCCATGGCTGCCATCTTTCTTTCTTCAGTCTTATTATTTATCTCAGCCTGAACAGACTTAAATACTTGGGAAAGTTGAAAAACAGTTAAACAAAAGTTGTTGTTGTTTCTATTTTTCACTATTCATATAGTAACTACTCCATTCCAGAAAAGTGATAGGATTTATAACTATGATTTCCATTTTCACAGCAACCCTGTGGTAGAGAGGACACTAGGTGCTCATCAAATCCTCTTTTTCTCCTGGAACTACGTTTCCCAGCATCCTATGCTATTGGGTTGCATCACGTGAAGGTTCTGGCCAATGGAATGTGGGCAGGAGTAATAGATGCATGTCTCGCATGTCTGGCTTCTAAAGAATATCATGTGCAATCTTTTTTACACACCCACACTCACTCTTCCCTTGTGGGATGCTGAAATAGAAAATCTAATGATGGACTCAGCCACTGGACTGAATTTCTGTATAATCATAGGTAATAGTCCCCTGGCCTCTGCTCAGCTTCATTGGACTGAAATATTAAGTTTGTTTAGTCACTGAGATTTAGGGGGAGGTGTTTATTAGGAAGTTGCCTCACCTAAAGCAGAGGTATTTGTATCATTGTTTTTGATACAATGACTCAGAGACACTAAAAAAAAAAAACCTGCCAAGCTCACAGAGCACACGGGTGACAAATCTGGTTTTGAGCTCAGGTTACGTCTTTTCCACTCCACCAGGCTAACTAGATGGCTGCTCCTGTACAGATGTTGCGTTGGCCTTTGTCTGTCTCTTGAGGAGTCACAGAAGGAAAGACCTGGAGCAGAACTAAAAGATAGGGAAGCAGGGTGCTGCGGGGGGGGGGGGGCGGCGGGGGGACAGGCCTGTGGAGTGGCGCTTCACAGCAGGGAAGGGAGGTGGAGCTTCAAGGAAGGGGTGGCCAACTGTGTCTAAGGAGACCTGGGCAGGCAGAGGAGGAAGAGGCTGGGAAGAGACCGTTAAATGTAATGACTTCAGCGACAGTTAGTCAGCTGAGTGATGGGGCAGAGGCCAGACTGCAGAGGTTTGGGGAACAAGTCAGGGATGGTGCTGGGGAAGGGAGGGAGAGCCTTATGTGGAAGCTAGTCTGAGAGAAAGCGTCTTGAGCAGGGAGCCAGTGGTTGGGGGAAGATTAAAAATGAGAAGGGGAATCACGATCTGCACAATGCAGCCCCTGCATGGGAGGCTCTCGCCCTCTGCTTGGTTCTGATGGGCATTCGTGAAGTCAGGCTGACGGAGTGGCCAAGAAAGAGGGGGAGTTGGACTGAGTCAATGGGCCGTGCCACGTTCACCAGGCTGCAAGGTCGTCTCCTGTGTGGACAGAGTGGTCTCAGATGACAGGCTGTGATCGAAGAGCCTGGAATTCTTCGGGGCCTTCTAATGTTATCCATTTGACTGGGGTAAGGAAATTAATTCAGAGAGGCTTAGATGGTTCACCAGGGAGCAGAGGGGATTGTCACCTGTGGAACACTTCCCATGGCTTCCTAGAAACCAGCAGCTGGGCTCTCAAAGTGTCCTTTAGCCAAAGCCCCTTGAGTTTTAGGAAAGTACATGAGTACTTGGCTTGGGACCACAGTTCCCAGGCTCCTTGCAGCTGGGTGTGACCATGTCTTCATTCTTATCAAAAGGAAGCTTGGGACTTCAGATCGCATCCGTACATGGAAGCTGTCCTCACTGAGTGTTATGGTTTGGATGTGAGATGTCCCTCAAAAGGTCACGTGTGAGATAATGCAAGAAGGTCTGGAGGAGAAATGATTGGGTTATAGCCTTAGACCAATCAGTGAATTGATCCCTGATGGGATTAACCGAGTGGTAACTGGAGGCAGGTGGGGTGTGGCTGGAGGAAGTGGTTCATGGGGGTGTGGTGTATATATTTTGTATCTGTAGAGTGGAGTCTCTCTCTCTGCTTTCTTTTTTTCTTTTTAAATATTTATTTATTTTTTAGGTGTAGATGGACACAACACAATGCCTTTATTTTTATGTGGTGCTGAGACTTGAACCCTGGTCCCACTCGCACTCTACGGCTGAGCCGCAATCCCAGCCCCCGCCCCCCTTGCTTTCTGATCACCATGTGAGCTGCTTCCCTCTGCCACTCTCTTCCACCATGATATTCTGCCTCACCTTGTGCCCTGATGAATGGAGCCTGCTGCCTATGGACTGAGACCTCTGAAACTGTGAGCCCTGAGATAAACCTTTCCTCCTCTACAGTTGTGCTGGTGGGTCCTTTAGTCACAGTAGTGAAAAAGCTGACTAAAACACTGAGCATCGTCTCTTTCCCCTGACCAAGGGCTAGGATCTGGTCATGCTGGTGACAAGCAGCTGTGAATGTACAGAGACCCTATGGTATGGTCAGGCCATTGGATAGCAGGATCCTTGAGACCTTGTAGAAAAGAGCCACCCCTGCCCCAGGCCATCTCTCCTTCTGGCCTGTTGTGTGGGAAGGAAAATGATGTCTTTTATTTAAGCCATTGTGCTTAAGGATCTTGTTAAAGCAGCTTGGTCTGTACCTTAATTACTGTTTCCCATCCATGCCAAGGTCTCTTTCCACAGTGCTCTTGGCCCCTCAGCAGCCGCTCCAATCCCTCCTCTCTCATTTCTTCCCTTCTTTTTCTCTCCCCACCTCCATGGCTGCAATCTTTCAGTCTCCATCCCATACCTGGACTCCTATGTCACATTTTTTTTTTTGTAGTGAGGGGTGCTTAACCACTGAGCAACACCCCCAGTCCTTTTTATTTTGAGACAGGGGTCTTTCTAACTTTCTGAGAGTCTCCCTATATTGCTGAGGCTGGCCTTGAACTTGTGACTCTCCTGCCTCAGCCTCCCATGTTGCTGGGATTACAGGTGTGTGCCAGCATACCCAGCCCCTCTGTCACTTCTCTGCCTTTGTCTTCTACAGAGCAATTTAGCCTCCTGCCCTCCCAGTATCAGTGCTTCCTGGGGGTCATTCCTCGATGCCCCTCTTCCTTTATGTTTACTCTGTGTTCTTTGCTCAGTTGGCCTTGTACCCCCTCAGGTTCAATTCCATGTGATGACATCAGTCCCACCTCTCCAGCTTGACCTCTACCCTGAACTTCAGATTTAACAGCCATGTGTCTGATGGGCACTTCTCTTTTAGGTCCCATAGGTCACCCTGGGGTTGCTGCATTGTGTAACTCCAAGGCGCTCCATTCACTGTCACCTCAATTCAACATATCTGTGTCAGGCCATCTGGGCTGCATGTAGCAAAACGCCAACTCTTAATAAGGAAATTGGGGCGGGGGTGTAGCTCAGTGGTAGAGCACTTGTCTAGCATGCGGGAGACCCTAGCTTTAATTCCCAGCACTGCAAGAGTGACAGTAAGGAAATTTTTTTGGCTTCCATGGAGGGAAAGGCTGACTTTTTGGGTGGCTTCACCCAGCGCTTCAGTGGAAGTCATCAAGGGCCACGTCTCCCTCTCTCCGTCATACTCTTCTTCCAGAATTGCCTTATCCTGAGCCTTCTGAATTGGAGGATTGCTGTGGTAGCCAACAGGACGCCTGCTTCTTTGTTCTCATTAGGAGAGGCTCCTCTCCCACAATTGTTGGAGCCGGGCAGTTTTCTTTGTTCCCAGTGAGTCCACTTATGGTCTCTACACCAATAGAGTCACCGGAGAAATGGCAGGTGGCAAGGGGCGTTGTCATGGAATAGGTTGCCATGATGGGTATGGTACATGGATCAGGGCCCACCTTGGATCTGGAGTGAATTCCTCAGATTGCATTTCTGTGACAGATGGCCGAGGGGATGAATGGATGTTGGGCAATCAATTACTATGTCAGCTCCAATCTTAAAATCTAAACTCATCCTGTCTACTTGTTTCACTCAACCCATACTTTCCCTTGTATTTAATTAGTTTATTTTTATTTTTGTGGTACTGGGAATCAAACCAGGGACACTGTACCACCAAGGTACATCCCCGTCCCTTTTTATTTTGAGACAGAGTTTTGCTAAATTGCTGAGGCTGGTTTTGAATTTGCGATCCCCCTG